AGATAGTAGGAGTAGGAGCCCTAGGGGAAATATGTGGATACCTTGATTCCGGAGCTGGCACTGTGCCATTCGATCTACCTGGGAGACCCATGAGCTTCAAAGTTCGAAGGTCAGAGAAACACTCCAAGCGCAGATCAACAAGAACCATCCATCACTATTTCCTGAAATGTCGCTTTGGAGCAGAACCGGCGCTCTTGTGCCGAGGTGGAGTGCAAAGCCCTCCAGGATGATACGCAAGGTGAGAAAGCCGGAGGTTCATGAAAGGGGGCTAGCAAACATGCAGAGATTGGCCAAGATGGCCAAGTGCCTGGCACTTGCAAACGCGTAGTTTGAATGGGTGGTTTTCTCTAGCAAATCTCAAGCTGAACTCTCTTGCAGGCTTGGGCGTAAACTGAAAAGCGGTAAGACTCGTTGTCCGCAGGAGGGTGCCCAAGGCATTCGAATATTCACTTACTGTAATATGAGTTTCATTGAATTTCTATGCGTTATAGTTATATATATATATTATATATTATCTGATATCTGTGTGTGCGTGTATTTGGTTCGTGTAGCAAAAGAGGTGGTAAGGCCGAAGACTCATGTGCCAATAAGAGGGATTGGATGCAAGCCTGTGATTGGAGCGCAGGTTTCGTGACAGTCGCTGGCTCTGGTGGCACGACGTACTTGGAGGCACGACGTATCTTGTTTAAATCAAAAGCACTGACACTCGCATACGTCAACGCATACGGATCTTAGAAAAAGTTCATTTGTAAATACTGGGATTTCGGTTGTCCCTCCGATCTGCAGATTTGCAGATTCCGTCGGATGTCGGGAGGTCCGTGAGGCGATCTCTTCAGCAGCCCAGCTGCGCCATGTCTCCAGGTCTACACGCCCTTCATGGAGCGCGTGCGCGCGGCGGAGGAGGCCTTGTCCGATTGCTACGACGTGGCCCGGACGGCCCAGATGAGAGTAGAGCCAGCCACGGCGTGGGAGGGTCAACATGGCTGAGCCATGCGGCAAGATTCAAGGCTGTTGGGGAGTGGGGGAGTTGGGAGAAAAGAAGTTTGTATAAATCAGAAATGCATGAACATGCATGAACTGGCCCATAGTTTTCAGAAAAACTGGCACTATAGTCACTAGTCGGTGTCGTTTCTTCTCTCTGGTCGGAGACCCGGCGGAACTGGAGCTTCTCGGGTGTGTTTGAACATGTCAACTGAGGTGAGTTCCACAGTGAACTACCTGAAGCAGAAGCATGATGAGTTGAAGAGCACTCGCGCCTTGGTGTGACCGTCAATGGATTTGTTGAAGGGAACATCTCAGACATCAGGAAACTATGGCCAAAACCACAGCCAAAACCATGGGTTTCCTGTAGATTTTTCTTAAACCAACCAATTCTGAGAGATAGGGGCTGGTGCAACACCAGGGTGGTGGGCTTGGGGTTGGTGAGGTTGATGGCAGCGAGGGGTGTTAGCATGTCTTAGCTAACAGTGCAGCTGTCAGCCTTCAGGAGTCGTCGCAAGGTGTTTGTTTTGTGTCGGTCAGTTGTGAAAAAGACATCCACCTAAGAAAGGAATCTCATCCACCGATGTGTCAAAGAATCTGCTGTAGATTTTTGGGGTCTGTGCGTCTACGGGTCAATGGTCATAGCATTCCCCCAATCCCAGAGCAGGGTAATCCCCAGCTGGTGGTGCCTGATTTTTGAGACCTGCTCGGTAGGAGTCGACAAGGGTCCCACGTTATTTGGGACCCTACATCGTTGCTTTCCTGTGCATTCCTTTGCCATTTCACTTGCCTGCGGGTCAAAACCCGGGTTGCCCTAATCCGTTCTAGGAGGCACTCATAGTAGTCTATTCTGTTCATTTCGGGTGGTCCGGTTTGTTCCACATGCGCCCCATCAGCCTATCACACCCAGCGTGGCCATCCGCGAGCATGGCCCATGGCATGCCTTGTAGCTCGGTTCGGTTCGAAAGGTGGGTCGCAAGCGCTCACCGAGCTGAAGCAGAAGCTACAAGACCTGCGAGTGCGCAGAGCACTGCTGGGGGTCTGGATGGTGAGCTGAATGAAGACTGAAACGGGCGGAAGAACATGCGCTAAGAAGTCATGTAAGACAAACACCAGTTGTCCAAAGCACCACTCACTTGGTTGAGGAGCACCACGTCGCTATAGTCTACACTGCTATGCAGCAGTTCACCTTCGTGGACGGTTGAAGCTTTGTTCATGCAGACCGAGCGTAAACGTGCCCACCAAGGACAAAATTGAACATCATTGGCCATTCATTGGTCGATTTGTCGGTGATAAGTTCATCTGGCGCACAAAGGCTCCTGCATAGCCCCTTGGTAGACAGTTCACTCATCACCAATCCTATGGATGCTGAGCCGTTGACCCGGCTGAACCGATGCATTCCTGGCGTTCACGCAGGCCACACACCTGCACGTACGTGCCACGGACGTACGTCCGCGTGTCAGTCGTTGTGTCATCGGTTCCGAGCCGACCCCGGCCTCCCCAGGTACAAGCCACACGCGTGTGGATCTGAGAGCGCCAACGCGCAGTTGGATGGATCGGAGCGGGGGAGCGTGGCGCGGGGTCCGCACCGCCGATTCGCCGATGTCGAGTCACTGGCCGTGTGGGACTTGAGGTGCCATGGTGTTTGAAAGGAGGGTGAGACGGTGGGTCTGCGGCAACAGGAAAAGAAGGGACATCGACCGGTCTACCCCGTCAAAGCCAGAAAAAAAACCATCCTAACATACACTGTAGGAACATACTAGGAGCAGAAGGCATCGTTACTAGGAGCAAGACTCCTGGCCCTATGTGAAAAAAACAAGCAGGTCCCATACACTCATGTGTTTGATTGCCAGATGGATCCCTTGACCGGCCGAGGCCCAAGTGGCCCATAGCGATGTGAAGCACAAAGTCACCGAGGCGCTTTTGGGGAACAGCTCGTTGGTGGCCGGCGTTGACACCACAAAAGCACCCAGTTCTTTGAGGTTCTTGGAGTACATTCCCTGGAACTATTTGGAACTCACATGATTCCATGGATGGCATCGCCCCTTTCGTTTGGATGACCATGTTCCGAAAGACCAAACATGGGGTGAACTACCATGTCAGTTCCAGGCAGTGTACATGCGCTTGAGGCTTTAGGGGGTAGCTTCAGGTTCTATCAGTTTGTCCAACCATACGACAAATGAAAGCGCGCTTTCTGTGCTTGAGACAGGGCAAGAGTTGCAAGGGTCGAAGGGTGCCTTGAGGCCCTAAGGATATTTGGTTGATGGATCAGGTGTTTTTTGGGGGGGGTTGGTCAACTCCCGTTCTTCTGTTGGGCAAGAAGTTGCTGGCCGTGACAGCGAGCAAGAAGCTAAGCCTCGGACCTTGCACCCTCCAAAGACACTCACTGAATGTATACCAGCACTATACTCCTCTACAGGTCACTACTAGTAACCACTCTTGAGTGTTCAAAAGCCACCAGAGGAGACCTGTTGGATGGTGCTGGTATATAATATATCCCCGTTGCTACCGGCTATCTAAAATGAGTAATGAGTGTGATCGACCACGGAAACCCCATTTTATTTGACTCATTTAGTTTAAGGCTTATCTGAAATTTTGCCACGGATGGATTTGCAAACTTGACAAATTAGCCAGTTGTTTAGATAACATTGTGAGAAAGTCGAAAGTTGTTTTGTTGTTTATATTGACTTTAGATGCCTTTTGCAAACCTTTGGTGTGTGAAAGTTACTTAATTTAACCAATGTCTGGATAAAATGAGGGGGGTGAACTGGTGAACTTCTATAGTCAGTAGCAACGGGGATTATAATACCCCCTCCCAAGGAAATGCTAATTAGGAGAACTCTCGTGAAAGACCATGGTCACATCTTGTGACTTGGCATCCAGCTAATCGTGCAGCTGGCTGAGTGATCCAAAAAGCAACGACGAAACTGAACTGGCTCTGGCGCAGCGCCTGCTTGGCTCAGGCCAAGAATCGCCATGACCGGCAATTGGAGGTGCACAGGGGCGGAAAAACGTCAAGCACATGAAGAGGAGCATTGCTCCAAGTGCCATATATTGAACTGTTGAGATTCTTTTGATTTGTTGGACCACTCAGACCATTGTCAGTGTTTTTTCCCTCGGGACGCTGTTCTTAGCTGAGGGTCGGCTGGATCAGGCTTGAGAAATTTGACAAAGGCCTTTGACATGCCCATTGACTCGTTGGTCTCTTTGTTAAACGTGCAGAAACCCCGAAGCTGTGCTTGTAATCAGCTGAGAGTTCTTGTATGGCTACACCTGCATTCAGATGCATTCAGTTCATGTCTTTCCGTCTATAGCCCGACTCGCGTAGGGGGCTACTGTACACAGTAGCAGGAGTCCGAAAAAGCACCTATAGCGAAGGAGGGTGGCTTGGATGGCCGAGACCGTGCCGTTGGTCTCGGCGTTCCGTTCCGTTGGACGGTCGAACGGTGGAGACCGCAGGTTCACAAGAAGCGGCGCCAAAACGCGGCCGAGAAGTTGGCGGCGGAGACCATCACAGGCCGAGAGCCGATCGCCGCGACAGCGAAACGATCGTGGCGGTCGGGTCGATTCTGGTTCGGTGAAGACTTAGATCGGAGTTCACAATCAATATGATCAAGAGCATTGAAGAGCCAAAGACAGACTCCTCCCCAAAAGCATGGAAGCATGGTAGATCTTGAGATCCTTGGTAGGCCATTTGGTGAGGCTTTGCATTCAGTTGGTTTTTTGAATTGGTCCTCAGTGGTTGATGCTGTGGTTGATTGGTCCGTGACCCAAAGAGGAATGGGGATATGGGGGCTGGGGTTTAAACAAAAAAATATCAAACAATATATGTTCATCCAAAAGAATTTGGAGACTACAACTTCAGGTGGCGCTGCACATGTTTGGAAGAGAGTCTGGTGGCACCGGCCACGTCCGGGCCGATGGCACCGAAAGACGTGGAATCAGGTGAGGCCTCTGCCATGGTGGACGAGCTGATCGCGAAGGAGCGGAGATGAGAGTCCTGCCGTGGCAGGGGAGAAGGAGAGTACCTCGATCGGACACCACGAGGTGTTTGATGATGTTTGGTACATGTAGGTTGATTGCCGCAATCTGCGGATTCAGATCATGTTCACATACTGGACAACCATGTTCTGTTTGCCTGCCAAATCCTTTCCGCAGAATGCCTGGCAGAAGGTGTCACACAGCCCTTTTGTGAGCACAGCAGTGGAGCGGTGGTGACCATCCGAGCCTTACGTATCCATTGCGGAAGAGACTAACATGTAGAGCCACTTTGTCACTTTAAGCTTAGTTTTCCTCCCCTCTCCCTGGCATGTGAATTTGTCATCATTTGTCCCTTCACTCATGTGACTTCTTCCGACTTGCTCGCCTTTCAGCCTTTCAGGGTCAACAAACTTGGTCGGTGTCCTTTGCCATGGGCCAGTGTGCAACATCAACCGTGGCCATCGAAGCGGAGCTGCAAGCTCCGCCACGGGCAGCTGCACCGGACGCGGACGCGCGGCCCACGCGGTGGCCCGCAGCGCCTCTCTACCGAGTGTTGCTGGAACGCTCCGGGGTGGAGGTGCGCTGGGGCATGAAGTTGGGCGTTCATCCCGAGATCGAGGGATTGGTCATCACGGAATTGACCAGCTCGCTTGTAGAAGAGTGGAATGATGAACATCCGGAGCTGTGCATCCAGGAAGGTCATGTGATTGTGGAGGTGAATGGCTTTCAAGATCACCCCAGCATGAAGCAAGAGCTTGCCAAAGCCACTTCGCTTGACTTGCTGATGCGTCCGATCAGGAGCGACTTGCAGCAGTTGGCCTTTAATGTCTTCAAGCGGAAGCACTGCCTCAGTGCAACACTTCACCCGGCAGACGTGCCGCCCGATCAAGATCTGGGAGGATGTTCGATTTGCCACGATGCCATGGTTGTGGAGCAGAGCGGAGCTGATCAGATCGAGATGGCGCACGATGGTGCCGTCACGGCGCACGCGGAAAGCCAAAGAGTGGTGCGATTGGCCTGCAAACATCACTTTCATGAATCCTGCGTGAAGAGATGGCTGCTCACAGGGAATCACAGGTGCCCTTTGTGCAATTATCAGCTTGACCTTCGGCCCTGAAGACTCATAGACTTGTCCTATGGCTCACTTAGCTTACTTGGAGCATTTGTAGAGCTGCAGGGCAATTGTACCGCTTAATTGCTTGGAGCGTAGTTGAATTGCAAGATTTTCACTCTTTTACTCGGACTCAGATTTTCACTCCTTTACTTGGAGTCCAGGATTTGTCTCCTTTTGGCCTCGAGCTGTCTCCAAAGCTTGGAGATGGGGAAAATGACAATTCCAGGGATTTTACCGAAGCAGGTGGATGCAGGTGGATTGGCTCAACGCCGAGAGCCAGTGGGTGTTGCTAGGATAAAGTTATATATTATATATTTATGATATAAATCAATGTTCATCAATGTTCCGGTTGCTCCAAATCTTTTGCAAAGGTCCATCCATGTATACAACGTGTTTCAGTGGCATGTGGCGTTTTGGAGCGTTGCAGTGGGGGCACTTTTCGCAGCACCACTGAAACCAGGCGACCAATGCTTGCAATGCGGCCTCCAGCATCCTCAGCACGCTTCCCAGCTGTTCAGAGTAGCCTTTGACGAACACATGACTTGGAAGTGGAAAACCGCCTGGTGTTTCGGAGTGTAACTGTACTATTGTGTCGACATGGCGTCAAACCAAGAGGCGACGCCAGCAAAGAGTGCAACTCTCTTTTTTTGTCAGCATCCCTGATCTGAACAGAGCTTGATGGCACGGGCTGCAAACTTAGTTTACTCGCGGGAAGATGGTGGAAGGGTTCTTATCAGCGGAAGGTTTAGGGGCCGACATACCATGACATACCTCCCTTTTCCACCATCATCAACCTCTTCCAGGGCCGACGTGTGTAGCTGCGGTGGTTTCGGCATATTTTTGTGTTCGGCGCCCAGATGTGACGACAGACACCACGCCATCCTCAACGAGCTCCCTTCAGGTGGAGTGCTGCCCCTGGGGCGCTTCTTTCGTTCGTTTTAGGGAGATCAGATTTCGCTTACTGTGGATCCCCAGAAAAACGAGTTCAAAGTACCTTGGAAAATGGGTACAAGTACCTGTTTTTATGGGGTCATGTCCCATTTTCTAAGGTACTTTGGAGAGTCCAGGTAGTACTGGGTTAGTCCCGGGACGACCGTCTGCTTGGTCGGTTGGATGTGGTCGTTGCATGCCGCAACGGAGCACCACGAGGAGCGATCGGCACTCGGGTTGCCTGGATCTCCTGGGAGGTGCCATGCAGATCCGGACTGGATGCTTTCCCCAACCGAACCAGCCAGGTGACCCATTCCCAGAATTGGTTTCATGGAACATCCACAGGAAAGCCTGCAGATGTTCCCTGAAACATATCCTTAAACCAAGTCTGGGATTCATGTGACTTCCATTCAATTGCCACACGAATTCGTGCCTTTGTTGGTACCTTCCCTACACTCCTAGTAACCCCGTTTTGGACCCCAAAACCCACGACGGGAGGCCGAGGTCGTCAGGGGGTGGGACTTCGGTTGCGCTCTCCGCCAGGCCTTGGACCAAGTGGAGAAGGACCTCCTCTCCGTGGTCGACGCCTGTGCCGAGGCGAGAATGGCCTCGCAGGTGGTGGTGATGGTGATGGTGTCACCGTGAGCGTGCGTGTGGATCGGAAAACATGATCTTTCTAGTACATGTCCACATTCCAAATCAAGGTGGTCTTCTCCACACGTCATGTTTTTTCAAAAAGAAGCAGTCCTCTTTTGGCTTGGAGTGCCCAAGGGTGGGTTGGGGGTCGAGTCGGACGCATTGGACCGGGTCGGGTCGGGCGGGACGTGAGATATGGATGAATCGATGAGCAAGTGGATTTCGAGAAAGAAGGGCTTGTTGATGCTTGTTGTATATGTGTGTTGTTGTGAAGCGCGATGATAGCTGTGTCAATTTCCTTCAATTTGGGTAATCTTCAAAAGACTTCTGTACGAATGTCAGACCACTGAGGATGATGCCGAGACATTGAGCGTTCATCCAAAATTGGTGGGAATATCTATGACGACAGACCGCACGAAACGATGCTTAGCTCTGTGGTTTTCGACCCGCCAACCCCAGGGCGAAGGGAAGATCATGAAGACGGTGATGGAGGAGATCCGAAACGCCAGCAAGGCCCGATGGGCACCCAAGCTCAGCTTGTGGAAGTCAAGGGAGCAGCTGGGGGAGGGTCAAACAAGTCCAAACCATATCATTAAACCAACACTTTAACATATATATATATATAACATATATATATTATAGATTCCGCATTACTGTGTGCAACTTATGATCCGTTACCCAACAAAAACGGCGGGCGTGACATGAGCAGGTTTGCAACAGTCTCCCAAAAGCGCCTTGGACATTGTCGCAGGATCATGGTAAGGAAAGGAATCAAGAACTTGAGAAAACATTCATGTATTATATGACGTTGAAATTGAAAGAACCCTCCCTGAAACCTTGAAAAACCCCGGACTGGTGGGATTCTTGAACACACCATGAACTAATTGATCCCTTCGGAAGGTAATGGGCAAATGGGCAGACCAATCTATTCAATCTCATGTTGACCAAATTTGTTTAGGTCATTTGACGGTTTTCTTGATGGGCCGCGAAGACAGACAGCGCCGCCAGGGGCCTCTCTTTGATGCCCGGAGGATGATGTTCCGGCTGAAGGTTGGTTCTGGGGGCGTGTTGCTGGCCACGGATGGGCCAAGGATTTCATGAGAGTTTTCAATTTGAGGATCAAGTTGAGTGAAAACACGAAATGGAACGGAACATGTAGCGGACATCGTGAGCATTCTCCCGGTGGGTGTGTCTTTGTGTTATGGAGTTGGAATGGTTCACCCTTGCTAGTCATGTCCAAGCCCCCTTCTTCTTGAAGCAGTGAATCATATAGAGATATGGAAACCAAGCTTGTGTGACTCAAGGCGGTTGGCCAAAGAGGATTGGCAGTCATGCACAGGCATCAATATCATTGTCCCTGACCGCCCCTGACCTTTTCGAATGTATATATATATATAGACCTTGCCATGGTTAGCTAGCTGCTTGATGTCCTTTCCGAAGTACGGCAGGTCAAGTTGGCACCTTTGCCGAACAATTGCAAAAAGCACTTGAAGACCATCCAGGAGTGCCGAACGAAGTACCGTGGGCCCGACCGACGGCGGTCACTCAAACAGTCGGTTGCTGCAGTTGTTTGATCACAGCTGGTGGGCACGGAAGAAGCTGCCGCACAGGAGAAGAAATTGATGATGATGGAAGATGTGCAGGGGCCAAAGATCTGATGGACAGGGGCCAAAGATCTGTGTGGATGCACTCCAGTCCATTACCAAAATTCTATCTTCCAGTGTTTAGCTCCTGCTACTGTTTGGTATGGGGAGGAGTCCTCCTCCTTGCAAGGTGATCCGACCGGCATGGCTGAGGCAACGCATGGTTGCGGATTTGCTCAGAGAGCACGCTTGGAAGCTCAGAAGCTGGGCTGGGCTGGATCCTCCACTTGTACCGAGGAGTGCCAGTGCAGCAGTCTGAGCTGCGGTGGTCTGAAAACTCCTAATCCTAGCCGGTGCTAAGCTGCTAAGCATCATTGCCAATGCCCAGTAATGTAGACTTTTGAAGAACATTCCCATAATATGAAGAGGTTGTTCAATCCATGTTTGGGGTGGCTTTATTAAGCAAGAGTTTGCATTAGGTGAGGATGGTGATCTACTGAATCTACTGATCCAACCTCAGTCATTCAAACGAGCCTCCATGTGTACTGCCACGGAACATTGGTTCAGGCGACATGAGTGGTGTGAATGTTGCTGTCAATATGTGTCCATCAACCAATCCAAAATCAACCAAGCCCCTTGTTCTCCGCCCATCCTCAAGCACATCCTCAACACATCGTAAAAGTATATATATAATATACATATATCTATATATATATATGTGTGTGAAAGAGTCTTAACACTCCAAGAGACACCACTAAGTGTGCCCATGTAATAACATGTGCTTTCTCCCTCTTTCATCCCCTTTCCAGATGTGATCGGTGGACCTGACCGAGGCGCTGAAGAACAGCCTTTCGGCGGAGGCGCTCTATGAGCAGCTTCGCAAAGGCACTGCACGGGCGCCGCCCAGCGAGGTTTGAAGCGGTTTGAAGCGCTGAAGGTTGGCTTCGAGCCACGTAAAGTTCTGAATTTCTTTTAATGTGATCCTATAGGCCCTATATAGGATTGATTGATTGATTGATTGATTGATGTGATCCTATAGGTTTCACGGTTTCTTTTTGATTGCCATGAACCACTTTGAAACCGAACATCGAGGTCTTCTGCTGGAAGATGTTGCAATCCACCCTCATGAGAATGTCACATGACTTCTCACGGTTTGTCAGATCCATTACTCTATTGTGAGTTTTAATTTGCTTTAGAGATGAACTTGCTTACCCCGGGGTGATAGTCTCAGAATATGGTATAGGAGGCCTATAGGTGTCATTCTCGGGAATCCGTACGTGGATGTGTCCACGTACGGCAAGAACCTGTGGCGCTCGGATGCTTTGCCACTCTTCGAACTTGTGGCCGTTTCCAGATGAGACGCGGTGCTCGGACGAAGGGCCAGTGGCCAGGCCAGCGGTCTCAGAGTAGATGGCACAACCCTTATATTATGGACCCCATCTAAAAGACCTTTTGGGGTGCCTGTGCCATCTACTCTGAAACCACGGTTAGGGTCTTCCCGTTCAGTTTCTGTGTCTCAAAGCGCAGAGATCGCACGCAGCAGTGGGGCTCTTGGGCTCAGGGTGTGTCACACAGTCACACCCGTGTTCCTGACGACTCTGACGAAGATAGACGCAATCGACAACTGTGTCAAACCAGAAGGGCCACCTTGCTTGTACCGACCCTGACAGTCGAGCACTCAAGATTTGGTGACCCCAACATGCTGGAAGTCACATGGAGCTCACCCCCGATTTTGTTAGAAGAATATGGACATTTCGGCCGCCCACTTCAGGTCCAGGGAGTGTAACATCTATTACGACACACCTCCAGTCGTACCTCCTCAGGTTTGGTATGACTTGACCCTCCTGCACCCGGGCCCCCAGTCCGACCTTCGAAACGAAGGTACATGGAGGCCTAGGGCCTAGGGCATATAATTGTATAATTCCCGGAAGTCATTGGCTCAAAGCCTGACGGGTCCAGTGATCCCACCAAAAGGGTTCCTTCATGTTCCTTCCCTTGCTGCTGACGGTCCGCGCGCCTTCTCCATTTTTGTGCCAGCATGTGAGCGTCTCACAGCACCTGAATGAAAGTGGGGAAACAGATCAGATGACTCCAA